TTAAACTGTGCAACTGACATTTCGACTCTGTACGGTTAATCATTTCTTTCGTTTCCTAATCATTCATCAGAGAGTCCTATTTATCGAATCATATCCGTCCAGAACTTGCGTCACCAAAGCCGCTCATTCTCTTCGCAGAATCGGCCAACACCAGTGGAGGCCTCTCGCCCTCATCCGCGCGTCGCGTCAGCGCGGCAGGAAAAAAACGACTCTAATTGTTTCTCAGCGCATGAACGGAAGAGGCATGAAAACTTCAATTAAAGGGCAAAATATTAGCGGCGCAAACCGTCGTTCCGCGGACGTAAGCACCTAACTCGCTTTTCACATGAGTCCCGGAGTGCATGTCATTATACGGACAATGGGGGCAGACCCAAAATGAGATTACGTCTTTACGACGCAGAAGCGGCGCAAATGAACGACTCGTCTCGCGAGAAGAGCAGAAAAAAGTGAAAAATGTGTTAATGATGAAAACTCGGATGGGTCGGGCGGGGAGGGGATAAAAAATGAGGAGGAAATGTCTCCGATGTACTGCCGTGGTAAGGAAAAACGCAATACGAACCACCGACCGTTGCCAAATTCGCTTAAATAAAATACGCGTTCTCCTAGAGACTTGCAATTATTTCGCCTACAATTTTTCAGAGAATTTTATTCGCGATTCAATCTAAAACGTCTGGAAATTTCAAGGAAAAATACTACTCAATTTCCAAAAAAAATAACCATTAAACCGAGGGGAAATTTGGCACCATTCGAATGTTCACAGGACGTTCTATCTTAGTCCGGCAATGTAGAGGTCAGTTGGACAGCGTCGGGTAGGATGAGCCACGGTGATGGAATGCTTTCGCACGGGTCAGGGCTCATTTCGAGCCGTAGATAGACTGCCGCACAGTGGTTCGAGTCCATTTGAGAGATCGGACATGAAATTTGTGACCAAAACTAAACATTTTGATGTTAATTTTGTCACATTTTATATTTTAAGGGGTGCTTTCAGAAGAGAATGTTACAAGAAAACCAATGAAACCACTTTTAGAACCGCAAAGTTTTGTAGGAACGGAGTGACAAGCGTTTAAAGTTTCCGAATTTTGTCCGACTACTCCTACAGACTCGACCCAGTGTGCGGCGATGTCCAGTTTTTATTCTTTTCTGCGGATGCGGGACTGTCCACCGAGGCTGTGCATCCCCCTGTAGGCCGGCGCGGAGTGGCGATCTATGGCTAGGTCTCCCGGCAGCATTCTTGCGGATCGGTCTGGACGCGCCGTCCAGTCACACGATCTTGACCCATGCTGCCATGTTTGTGACCGTGTCCGGGTGAGACTCAATAGCTTTTTCCTTCTGTGTTCCGAATCTTTAATCGACTGCATACCATATCCTACTGGGGGCTACGCGGCCCCACACCAGCGAGCTCATTGTTCAAATTGATAGACGAAGCTATAGACGAAGAAGACGTAGGAAGTATGGAGCGATCCTATTGGTTGAAATGGGTGATTCTTATAGTCTAAGGGGGTAAATTGTGGACTAACTATCGGGTCTCGAGCGGGTTGCCGTTAGTTTGTCTACCTCTTATGTCCATTGAAACCACGCGCTTCCACCAATATGATTTGTCTTCTTTGTCTATCTGATTTGTTGCGACGAAGCTATTGACGAAGAAGACGTAGGAAGTATGGAGCGATCCTATTGGTTGAAACGGGTGATTCTTATAGTCTAAGGGGGTAAATTGTGAACTAACTATCGGGTCTCGCGTGGGTTACCGTTAGTTTGTCTACCTCCTATGTCCATGAAACCACCCGCTTCCACCAATATGATTTGTCTTCTTTGTCTATCTGATTTGTCTATCAATTTCAACAATCAGCCCATACTGGAGGACTCTTCGCGCCCTCAAACTACCGTGCTGAGGAAGAACGCCGTACGAATATTCGAGTTACCAAATGTCACTAAACATAAGACGAGTCATAAAACATGCATCTTTGAAGAGATTTTTATACAGTTTTTCTTGAAATTTTTAAATATTTTAGATTAAATACCAAACGTAATTGTCTGAAAATTTTGAAGAAAGGTATTCACAATTTTCCCAGTAAATTCGTTATTCATTGAAGGAAATATGGCAACGTCTAGAGACTCATACGGCGTTTTTCCTGAGCACGGCAGCAAAAGCCTACGATGAGTTAATCTACATAGAGCATGCTCATCAAGGGACTCTTTATCTATCGATAGCTGCAAAAATCATGGAAATCACCGGTAATAAAACCTCTTGGTTCAAGAGTGCAGTTTCTTGTCGCCGGATTTAACAGTCTGGACTCTTGTCTCAATGCAAAATCCGCTTGAATCAATGCAAAATCCGCTTGAATCAATGCAAAATCCGCTTGAAACAAGAGTTCAAGACTCTTAAATCCGGCGACAAGAAACTTCACTCTTAAGTCAATGCACCACGGCATTGGTCCAAGAGGTTTTTTTTTTACCAGTGATTGGCCTAGTAGATCTTTAAAAGAAACGGACTGTGGTAAAAAATGAACAAAAACATTGTTTAACTGGAAAAAGTCACAACTTAATCACGGAATATAAAAAAAGCCTGGGCCATATTTCAGAAATCTGAATGAGGCGGGCACATCTAAAATATATCATCTGTCGAAAGCTGCAAAAATCATGAAAATCGGCCGTTCCTTTACCAGTTCTGTTTGCGGTTATAGGGCTCTTTTTTCTCGTAGTCGGCCATATTGTTTTCTCTTCTTCTCCTCCTCCTCCTCCTTTTATTTTCTAAGGAGAAATTTTTACTAATAGCTTGGAAAGAGATAGTGAAGAATGGAGAGAGATTATATATTAAAAGAGATGGAAACAAAGCTCTGGGAATGGTGATGGGACTGGATGGTTGCAACTGGAGCGGAGACTCAAACTTGTTCGCCAAGAGCACCTCTTCTTCAGGCGACTGCATCGTTCAATCATGTTTAGTCTGCATACTAATCATCGACTCCAATTAGCGTCAAATCATAATCGTCAGAGCGTCGTTAGTGACAAGCGAAGGACTTCCATATTCCCCACGTACACGCAGAAAATTCATATTCTTCGCATATGACGTGCATTGATGTCACGTTGAAACCGAAAATCTCTCTTAACCCTAGTCTGAACGACTCGTGCAAAGACGGTATAGTTTAGAGAGCCCATTCTGCTATCTTCCCCATACTTCCGTGCTTCACTGAAAAAAAAGTATCACTCGAAACCATACTCCTGGCTGATTTTGGCATCAGCTATATGATTAGTTGTACTAGCCAGTGGTATGGTTGATCCAACAACACTTTCAGAAGACTCAACAACCCCTCTGACTGATGCAACAACTCTTACATCTGGTGCCAAAACCAGTGAGGAGTAAAGTTATATTGTGATATAGTGTATAGATTGTGGTACTTTTTTCCGTGATGGAGGAACGCGCGCCGTATGAGACTATGGTAGTTGCTAAATATCCTTTCATAAAACACGAATTTTAGGGTAAATTTGTTTTTCTTCCGATTTTTAGAGAATTTTATTCGTAATTTGATCTAAAGCGTATAAAATTTTATAGAAAAATGTCCATAACTTTTTTCAAAAATACATATTTTCTGATAGGAAATTGGGCAACGTCCAAATGCTCATACGGCGTTTTCCCGTAGCACGCGACGACATACTGTATACACTTTTTTGGAGGCCAACGTTCAGATTTATCGAATAGTGTCTGATGACCAAAGAGTTATCAGCAATCCTCATCCAATGTACAATAACTCGCCCAGCAAAGTGCTAACCTTGATATTCATCAGTGATCATAAGGCAATTTGTTTTCATTTCATACTCAACAAGTTGCTCATCAGTAATCACTGGGCGAAAAGCAGCGTTGACCTACGAATTAATTGTTTGCCTCACACGATTAAACGGAAATATGATCAAAATATACTGTCTCGGGTCCTTTATTTGTAATCATTTTTTAAAAAAGACTTCCACAACTTTAGCAGGGCTTGCGCTTGACAACGCTGCACTTGCTTTTACTTACAAAGTGTGAGTGTTTACGCAACTGAGCGCAGCAGTGAGGTCGCTCACTTTCGATCGATTGGGACAACTGATCTGATTAAAGTTTGCTGCATGGTTGAGTGTTGAGATTGATTACTGGTTATTGGATATGACGGTGTTTATGGACCTCGTTGAGTTCCAACTTCGCTCCTTTTCACCTCTCGTTAGCACTATAGACTGATCAGGTACAATATATTTTAGAGACTCTGCAATTTTATCTTTCCGACAGTGTAAAAGTTACTGCAACTGACGACAACTCCCGTGCACTTCTGAAAAGAAGAGAAAATCAGAAAAGCCTTCAATTTGGGAAATGCAACACGCACAACCGTGGAACACAAATTGTTGCATCAAGGCGCTACGACCAACATAGAAGCAGTGTAGTATTCGTGGGTTAGAAGAATCACTGAGTTGAATCGGTTATTCTAAAAAAGACTTAAGCGCCAAAAATCATAATACGAGAAAAACAGTAAAACAACGATTTAATTGACTCGTTCTAAATTTCAAAGCCCTGAAATATTAAAACGATGAATTAATTATTCCCATTATTATATAATCAACAATTTTAAACGTTCCGATTATTCGGCTTCTGATAAGTTCTTCAGACTTCCATTTCAGGCGCTTAAGTATTTTTAAGAATGACCGATTAAATTATTGACCGTGGCTACTCTGGCTGCGCATCGCTAATTGGTAATATTCTCTCCAGACAGGTACTCGGTTATTCGACTGCTACTAATGACGAGGTCCGGGCATCTCTGAAGATGTGAGAATAACGATAGAGCCTTCAATTTTGAACACGCAACACGCATATCCGTGGAACACGAATAGTTGCGTCAAGGCGCCACAATCAACTCACAGCTATTGTGGTGCTCGTAGGTCCAGAGAATCACAGAGTTGAAGAGATTTTATTTGTTCTTTAAACTTTTAAGGAGAGTATATCTATCATTTTCATAGCTACTTTTCTGTTTTGCCTGCAGATACAAGAGAATCAAGCTTTGTGAGTGCAATTACAGCTGCCGGAGTGACATACTCAGTGACGAGAGCCTGCACAACCGGTGAACTCATTGAGTGTAGTTGTGACAAAACTTTCAAAGGTAAAACTGTGATTTTTTTTTACCTGGTATGAACTTTATATGAAAGCGTTTAAAACAAGGGTTAATTTTTGTGGCGAAGAATCAACCTACGTTATTTGACAATATTTTAAAACTATTTTTTCCAATTTGTTTTGATTTTAGAGGAATTCAAGGTATTAGCTCATTGGTCAACATAATTGAAATTAGCACACAACTAACTTTTATAGCTACGTGTAAATAGGTCAGTTGCGCTAGTCGCAGAATTGTGCTATGATGATTTCTGATTATAAATCAGCAAAAAAAGTAAGATTTTTCTTGACACCAAGTTTCCATTTTTAAAATAAACCAAGCTATTGCCCTTCAAAACACAGTGCATGACGTCATCCACCATAATGACGTATATAATGGTTTCTTCCACCTGGCGCTTTCAGTGGAAACGTGTGTATCACTAATAATTGATGAATCCGAGAGGGAAGGGAATGGGGCATGTAATATTGCGGTCGATGGCGTCATATATGCTTTGTTTTTTGAAGGGCGATATCTTCGTTAATATTGAACGTAAAAACCATGCGTTTGGAAGAATCGTATTGCTTTTTGCTAATCTATAAGCTTAAACCACTGTCACGAAATTCAATGACTGGCCCAATTGACCCATTATGAGGTGGAAAACTGCTGAAGCTACAGAATCTGACCATTTTCAGAATCGTCTCAAAAGCGAGAAATCAGTGTTCAGTAAGATCATCATGTTCTAAAGCGCCAAACTCCTCACTTAAAAACCGAAAACGACGTAGGTCAGATCTTTCACCAAAAGAAAACTTGTAAATCGATTACGCTTGTATTAACGCCTCTTTCTTCTCAATTGTAAAATCTATCATGGATACATAACAGGTCTTTATTTTTGGCGGCAGTATATTTTTCCGCTGTGACTTACATTGTCCCTCTTTTTTCTTTAACAGGAGAAGCAAGTCGGATGGGTGCTGAGTTCGGGGAACGTAGCTGGGAGTGGGGTGGCTGTGACGACAACATTAATTACGGGTACCGCAAGTCCAAAATATTCATGGACACCCCCTATGAGCAACTCAGTGACATCAGTACATTAATCAAACTCCACAATAACGACGCTGGGAGACTGGTAGGTTTCATTTCCCATTTTCTTAAGGCCTGGATATACACGCTCAAATTTCCGTCAATTTCCGATCAAAATGATGACAAAAATGGCGGTCAAATTTTTGCAGGCTGCAAACTTTTGATGGTAGATGGTGCGCACCAGTCACCATTTGATCGGAAATTGATGGAAATTTGAGCGTTTATTCAGGTCATCACAATATGAGATTGATTTTTTCCCCTAAAATAAAGAATGGGCCTGTTGCATGCAAGAGATACAGCCATGCGAATATACTTTTTAGAGGTTGAATGACACGAAAATTACGATGGTCACATTGAAAAAGTCTGAAATACACTCCTTACTGCGCAATTTGCGTTGATAGGAACGCGCTTTTTCAAATTTCCCGCGTCTGAGGGCAGTTTTCTAACGGAAACAATTAACGGCAACTCGCGGCTATTTCCGATCAACTAAAACTGACAACATAACCTAAAAGTCGGAGCTCGTGATATCGTGAAATGAAATGTAGAAGGATTGTGTTGGATATTTAAAAGTTGATCGATTTGGTTACCGCATAAAGCGTATATGGACCACTATGAGAGATCACGTTGGGTTTGTAAACGAACTGAAGGAAAAAATAACAACATAACAACAACAACGACTCGGCTTCTTCCGGAAATCACTGAGCCCACCGTTTGCTCGTTTCCGGTGATTAGAAAACTGCCCTTAGACGCGGGAAATTTGAAAAAGCGCGTTCCTAACAATGCAAATTGCGCAGTAAGGAGTGTATTTCAGACTTTTTAAATGTGACCATCGTAATTTTCGTGTCATTTAACCTTCATAATGTCTATTCGCGCGGCTGTATCTCTTGCATGCAACAGGCCCATTTGCAGAAACAAGACTTATAAAAATACAATATTTTATTTTATAATTAACAGTCGTTCAAGCACTTCAGCTTTTGCCATCGTCAGGACGTAGGAAGGAAAACATTCATGAATGAGGGGCTTGGAGGATAAGGCGCATACGAGCAGTGTTTTGGCCTAGTTACACGCTCAAATTTCCGTCAAATTCCGATCAAAATGATGACCAAGATGGCGGTCGAGAGTTATCTAGATTGATGAGTAAAATTAATTAAAACAGCGTGTTGATTGAAATAAGCATGAAATAAAGACGGCTGTGTTGAAATCAGATGAAGGATGAGCCCCACAGCTACATCATCTACCATCAAATTTTTGCAGGCCGCAGAAATTTGATGGTATAGATGGAGCGCACCAGTCACCATTTGATCGGAAATTGATGGAAATTAGAGCGTGTAACCATCAAATTTGAAAATATTGAGATTTTAATGATTTCAAGTAAAATTAGTAATGCTTATACTATGAAAAATTCGCACCCAAATTCTATTATTTTAAAGCATCCAAAAGTCAGTATGAACTTTCTTTCCGTCGTCGGTGAATGATTCAGCGGTGTCGTCACTCCCGTCGTAGCTGCTGACGTCACTGATTTCTTGTAATTCCCTTTCATTCTTACCACCGTCAACTAACGAGCACACCCCTTCTTTCCCACCCATACGTAGTTCCGTTTAAGCGCCAGATACACCTGCTTGCCAGACGCGAGAAGTAGGATCCGATCCTACTTTGGGCGGCAAGGTGCAGCCTGATTGGCTACGAAGATTGCAGAACAAGGCCGAAGGCCTACTCGTCACTTAAGACGCGCGTCTAGCTCGCAGGTGTATCTGGCACTTTAGCAAAAATACGTCCACTTGATACTTGGAGGTAGAGTAAGAGTATGGACGACTCGATTTATATAGCTCTTAGGGCCCAAAAGGGCGACAACGTGTAAGACGAAAATCACTAGAAAAGTAGGCCGCTGTCAACCTATGCATTTGAACGATTAATGAATACGGCTGACGTCGCATCGTAAACAAGCATCTTTAAAGATTAAGACTTTGAAACTGAGAAAATGTATGCGAAATTAAGGTTATATATATATATATATATATATATATATATATATATATATTAATAAATTTTTAATCAGTTATGAAACAACGGGTGGTAAGAATTATGAAAATTAGTACCACTGGATAATTCGAGTCTATAGGTTGGCAGCCCTTTTGGGCCGCAAGAGCCGCATGACCTGATCAAACCTAACCTCAAAATTTTCGAGTTGTCCATACTCTCCCTACAAAGGCATTCTAGGGTGTGGGACGACCATAGCGGCGAGCAGGCAACAGAGGGATCGAACGGCGGAAAAGATGACCCCTTCATGACATTTGGACGCAATTCTGCTAAACGGAACTATAGACGAATGGGAAAGATGGGCTGTGCTCTAGAAAGCTGGATAAGAAACCATGTAAAAGTGAAATGATTTGAGCGCTTATTTTTCCCATCCTGGCGTTTAAGTCTCCAAAGATACCAGTGGGTAAAACTTACTTGGAGGGTGCCAATCTATGCTTCAGCATTTGAACAGCCATAGTGTCAGTTTTCTTCTGTTGTTGTTGCAGGCTGTGAAGAGGCTCATGATCACGGAATGCAAGTGCCACGGTCTCTCCGGCTCGTGCACGGTGCGTAGCTGCTGGCGTCGACTGCCGGCCTTCCGGGCCGTGGGGCGGTCGCTGCGGGGGCGCTTCGAGGCGGCGGCCCGGGTGATCCCAAGCAACGACGGGCGACACTTCATCGCCACCGCGGGACCATCCCCAGGGCCGGGCCGAGGCGACCTCATCTACTCGGAGGAGTCGCCCGATTTCTGCAAGCCGAACCGGGTCAGCGGATCCCTCGGCACCCAGGGCCGCCCCTGCAACGCCACCGCCTCCGGGCCCGGGTCCTGCCAGAGTCTCTGCTGCGCCAGGGGGTTCGATACCCGGCTCGTACGACAGAAGCGCCGCTGCGACTGCAAGTTCTTGTGGTGCTGTCGGGTCTCTTGCAATACGTGTATCACGCCCCGGTATCTGCATACCTGTCGCTGAAACGAACACGGATAAAAAAGAACCGCACAATCCTACTACATTGAAAAAAAAAATACTCCGGCCGTGGGGGCCGCAATTACGGGCTACATGGACATACCGTCCGTTCCGGGCTCAAAGGCGGAAAATTCCGGGTGCTGGAGGCGTATCTTCGATTGCTCCGGGTTCAGAGGCCAAAGTTATGGCTCTAGCAGCCGGAATTTTCGGCCTATGAGCCCGGAACGGACGGTATGTCTATATAGCCCGTAATTGCGGCTCCCACGGCCGGAGTTTTTTTTTTCAGTGTATGCTCCTGGCTGATTTTTGTGCCAGTTATAAGAGTAGTCACACCGGTCAGAGGTACGTTTGAGTCAGCCAAAGTGCGGTTGCATCAACCGAACCTCTGTCTGGTGTTACTACTCTTGTAACTGGCGCCAATATCAGCCAGGATTATAGTTGCGATTTTGATTATTATCTGTCAGTGACGGAAAGAAACCGAGAATCGTATTGAAGGTCATTTTCGAGAATTGAGGGATGAAGCCCACCTTTATTTAGGAGTCTGCACGAAAAGAAGAATTGAAGTATACGAGGAGAGGAAAAGGAGGAAGAAGAAGATGGGAATGAAGAGAAAGAAAAAGGCGAGGAGAAATATTCTCACTCCTTCCCTCCTTTTTTGCATCTTTGTCTTTCCCCTCTACTTTCCCATCTGCGCTGTCCTCTTCATACTTTCATTCGCTGTTCTGCTTCTTTTCTCATTCTTCATCATAACCTTCTTTTTCTCCTTCTCCTTCCTCTTCCTTTTTTATTTTTCTCCCTTTGCGACACGTGCCTTGTCCTTCAGAGGCGACACTGTGACTGCAAGAGCATCGGATTTCTTGAAATGCGTGTATCACCGTATGACACCCCGGTACATGCATACCTGTCGCAGCACCAAGAACCCAAATGATTTTAGCTGCGCAAATCCTGTTAAACGTGAAATTTTGAAGCAGAAACAAAGATACGTAGCAGAATGCTTGAATTTTTACCTTCTCTGCTGGTCCATCGCAAAAAAATAACGAAGTTTGTCTTCCTACCCTCCGCGATAAGCCTGTAAGTTTTCGTGGAGTTGGCTCTTTGTATGCGCATTGATTCAATTTAAGTTCTCTTTTAGATCTTGCAATCAAGCCCTAATCTTTCAGGTCCAAACAACACCCCCATTCTACAAATAATGTGCCCTCCCCGTATATGATGCTCTATAAAAAAAAATTTCTACAGGGGAAGTATATCAAAGTGGCTGCTTTTATAGTTGCCGATCAGTTCCTTGTGGAGTGAAAATAAATTTTGGTAGAAGTAAAGAGATGACCCTGACAAAGTATACGTAAATCGATTTATCTGTCCCTTTTAAAAATTGGTCGCACGCCCTCCAATTTCGTAGTTTTTAAAGATATTTTATTTTTTTAATCAAATACCTAATTACGACTTGATGTGATAAAAGTATACGATTAGCCAGTAAGAATTATTATCATGACATTTGTTATTGTTATTTTATAGTATGTAAAGGGGTTGATTAAAATCCCGTAATTAAGTATTGACTTAGGTGTCCCCAGAAGAAGTACAACCAAGTTTCCTAGCTTAAGTTAAAATTATTCATCGCTTCTTTTTGTTTGTGTATACACAAACTTAACCACAGAAGTTACAAAAGAGTGCATAAAAATCGGAATATGCGTTTGAAATATAATACTTATTGATAAGTAAACAAGAAAATGCCCTCTTTTTTATGAAAATCCCCCTTTATTTTGCCGAAGAAAAGTTTTACAATGCGAAAACTTGTTGACTAAGATGGCTGAAAGTTGTATCTCAATCAATCGAATGTTGGAATATTAATATTTTTAAAGAGAAGTAAATAGCCTGGTTGCTGATCGTCGTAAATTACGTCACTAACTAACTTTTTTAAAAAAATCTGCGGTTTGAGATCCAGGGTATGGAGCTACGTTTTGGCATTGTCACCACACTGTGTACCTATCCGCTGATCTGGTTCCTATAATTTGAATTGTGAGTTTTCTCTGTATACTCAGACTAAATCGTAAAATTTGTCCAATATATGTATAATGACAATTAAAACAACCAGGTATGTAAAATTATGGAAAATCTCTGAAGTTGCATCGAAAACGAGATAAGGCCAAGTAATAAAAATTAGAATAATCTCAATTTATTACTTTTTATAGTCAATTTTTAGTCTATATCGGATGCAGCCGAAATTTCTGACCCAAGATACCAGATCATCACAAATAATAAGCAAACATATGAACGCCTTCAATTTCAAAGAAGAGAAATGATCATCAAAACTAAATCGAAATGCTGTACATTCACACGGTCCTATAAATTCAAGGAAACTATTATGAGCGGATATACACATATTTTCAACGTAAAGGAAACATTAGCCTCCTAGAATACAACCAAAAATAGTAATTGAGTGTACTGAAGTCCGAAATATAACCTGACTCATGTATAAAATGACATTTCATAAAATAAACATTTTTGTTTGTTTGATTTTCTGTTTTATTATATGCTTCCAAAATAGTTTGTCCATTCATTTATTTATTTATCATTTGTTTATTTTTTTGTTTGTTTAACTATCTCATTTAGTGCCTTGTGGCCAATAGCCGCTTTGGAGCTGAATTTTCATGCACTGACTTCGGCCTTTCCTAAAATTTTGGGTATCCATTCCCCAAGCTGAATAATATCTACCGCAGAATAAGGAATGCTCTACTAAGACTTTAATTCTTCTTCGTACTACTTATTGTATCCAAAATCAGGTTGCCTCTTAGTTATGGTGATTCGATGGACGCCATATTGTGTTTCAGAACGGCATGCGATATATCGCATCAATTGGCTCCATTTTTTTGCTACTCGTCATTTCTCTCGAATTTTGAGATTGCAATTCTGTTGTCAGGAGACTAAAGCACTCACTTACCAATTTTAACAAAGAAATTCAACGTGATAAAGGCGTGGTTTCTTTAGAGAGAAAATATCACATTCGAGTGCAGTTTCGATATCAGTATCGAATGCGATATCGAATCACCTCAAACTCGCCTTCCGTATTTTTCTCCGTGTGACAGTGCTATGACATAATGAATCTTCTCTTTTGAGGCAAACCTACGAAAAATCAGCCTCTGTTTTCGACCATTAATATTGGAGCGCAACCAATGTGGCAGAAAGGTATCATCGCTGTTCGGGTGGCATCGCGATTATCGAAATGCGGGAGGGGGCTCATTCAAAGCGGGTCGGTATAAAAGGTTTCTGCAAGCCGAAAGAGCGTGAAAAAAAGGATAGCGAAAAAATGCAAAGGGGCCGACAGTCGGTGGCGCCAGGAGCTGTCAAGCGACCGCGCGCGAGCTGTGGTGCGGTACCCTCCGAGGGCCCAGCTATCGAACTTCGATACGTCGTGGTCGAATCGGCGCACGGTGTGGCATCCGCACGGAAGATGCGGACAAAAATCGGTAAAAGACACTTAACTTTAAATAATGAAGATAGTAGCACCGACATAGGAGAACCCCTTTGGCACTATCAAAGTACAGAAGCGGATCCAGCAATTTGGCAACACCGGGTTTCCTCCATTTAAACCTATGTTAAATAATCGATTCTTATCGGAGCACCTGGCCCCTCCAAGAATCGATACATTTCCATAGGTTTAAATGACGAAAAAACAATGTTGCCAATTTGGTGGATCCGCCAATGTCAAAGTAAAACACATGAGGAATAAGAAAATGTTATATCTCAGGATTTTTTGCGTATTTTTTGAGAGAAGTTCATTTGAAGTTGGCAACCTCGAATCAGCCCTATGTTAACAATTTAAAAGCGAAGTAAAACACACAAACTTTAACTTCGATTATCTATGATAGTCGCAAAAAATCGCAAGATCATTTTTGGTAGAATCGAAGTTGCATAACTGAGGATTAAGAAAATGTCAACTACCCAAAGCATGTTGCGTTTCAAGTGAGAAATCTTCATTCGAAGTTGACGTCTTTTTCGTTTGACGTATTTCCTTTGAATCAGCGATTCTCGACCCACTTCCCGCCCACTTTCTACCCAAATCTGAAGTAGTTTTGAGCGAAAAATTCGAAAATGAACCATCATTGTAGATAAGTCAGAAATATCTTTAAGATGACAAACTCCAAAAAAAGAATATTCAGATGTCGAGTTGTGAATTTTTTATTTTACGTCTATACTGCCGTGCTAAGGAAGAACGCCGTATGGACATTCGAGAGTTGCCAAATTTCTCCGGATAAAACATATGCTTTTTAAGAAAATTATGCTTATTTTTTCTTGAAATTTTCAGATATTTTAGATTAAATTGCAGGCAAAATTTTCTGAAAGATTCAAGGAAAAATGTTAACGATTTTCCCGGTAAATTCGGTATTTATTGAAGGAGTTATGGCAACGTATGAAGACTCATACGGCGTTCTTCCTTAGGACGGCAGTATAGAGGACCGCACTGTGCGGCGACCCGGGACGGGACAAGTATCGAAGTTCGATGGATCGCGGCCGAATTGTGGCCGGAGCCAGGTAAAGGGATACTCATCACGTTAATGCGTTGTTAGGCTAATAACACCGAGGTGTCTGCCTAACAAATGTTTGATGTAATAAAAGTAACGTTCGAGGTGTTATTATTGGAAATTAATGCGATTCGGGGCCCCGCCCCCTCCGCAGCACACGTGGTGCCCCGCCTGGGTGGTCAGGGTATTTTCCTAAATATAGTTATTTATTCCTGGTATTTTCTTCCTTTCCATTCGGGCTCGCGGAACAATTTATTGTTTAAATACTTCGCGCCACGTTATATTCACTCTCACTGACGAGAAATTCCGATCGCCTGTCCATGTCTCCGCATCCTGGCGCGTATTTACCGTCTGTGATGGAAGGGATCCAGAGAGGGAAAGGGTTTACGATGGTTGCAAAGGTGTTTCGCAAGTTTCCTTCCTTGAGGTAACGCCAAGTCCAGCTGCAATTGGCCAGGAAGGAACCAATATAAGAAGTACATCTAGACTGCCGTGATAGCGAAGAGAGCATTAAGTACGAAAATGAAGTTTTGAGAAAACGGCCTCAGAAGCATCTGACCGGGAAATTTTAATCTCCTTCTCAAATTATCACTATAGTCGT